AGAACGATATTCCCACTGGCTACGTAACTAAATCCTAATTACTTAAGCCTCAAGTATCTTTCGTACTGTTATTTAATAAAAAAAATATTCCACATACATCCGTATACATATACGTAATATTCGTATCCGTAATGTTCGTGTTCAAATCTAAGAACTCCATTACGCCAAAGTGGTAAATGCGGAACGCATTTGACAAGGAATAAAAAATAGATGATTATCTTTACCGTTTATGATACCACGATAAATTCGTTCGGCGAATGTTACGATATTGAAGTGTTCATAGAAAATGAACCCCTTTTCGATTGAATCTTTTATCGACTTTTAGTGCCTAACGAATTGTTTGTCATTAAGGTTGTCATTAAAACGAGCCCATCTTCTAAGGATCAAATGGAATGGGCATAATTTTTTATCGTAAATTTTGATTCTTCTATTTTTTACGATTTCGAAAGATCCAAAAATTAATCGTAGTAGGAGAACAAAATTAATCGTATAGTCGTACGAATACGACGACGATGATGCATCATATTAAAGAATCGAATAACGAATTCAATGAAATTTCATTAATTTCTATGTGACATGTGTTAAGTGATCGAAAGATTTTTTTTCTTCTTTCTTCTTTTTTTTTTTTTCTATATATATATATTTTTTCTCCTTTTTTTCTGTCTTCTTTTTTTTCCTTTTTCTTTTAATTCTTTTTTTCTTTTTTTTTTTTTTCAACGAGAGAAGAGAGAAAGCTAAAAGGAGCAAACATCTTTGATTTATCTTGATTTGATCTAGGATAAATTTAATCATCGTTATCGGTATCGTTGAAAATAGATTTGTTGGATCGATTACGCGTAGATAATCATTTTTTCGAAGGGCTCTTACGTAGCTCCGTTCGCACGTAATAATTATTATCGAGGGCCACGAGGGAGAGGCAAGCCGTACTTATCGTTATTCGCGTTGCAATTAACTACCGCGGAGGTGGTGCATTCCCCTTTCGTTCACGTGGGTGGAAAGAGAGAGAGAGAGAGAGAAAGAGAGAGAGGGGGGGAGAGAGATGGATAGAAGGGTAGGAGGGGTAGCTTCGAGTCCACGTTCCAGCTCTGGCAGGTCATAACGGGGGAACGTGCTTCGTTCGGTCGGTTGGTTCGTGGCTACGCGTCGGAATTATTTATACCACTTGATTACACGCGTTTGCTACCGGACAAAGCCGACCGAGAATCCGAAGGTGCACGAGCACCATTACGAGCACTCGATTGGTTAACTCGAAAAAGACGTTTATCCGTCTTATTTAGATTCGCTGAAGGAAAGATAAAAGTGCGAATGAAACGGATTGACAAACGATGTATTGTATTTCTTTTTTATTTCTTTTTTCTTTTTTCTTTTTTCTTTTTTTTTTCTTTTTTTTTTCTTTTTTTCTTTTTTCTTTTTCTTCTGACTATCTATCCGTCAAGGATCACAATCATTTTTACGGCATCATTTCATTTTCATTAAATAATATTCGTGAATATTAATAATCTCTTTGAAAATCACATTATCGTTTGACTTTTTTTTTGTTTTGTTTTGTTTTGTTCTTTTCTTTTTTTTTTTTTTTTTATTTATTTATTTATTTATTCATCTATTTCTTTGGTGTGATCGTAGAATAAGGAAAAAAAAATAAAAATTGTTCCTCGTAAAGAAAAACTTTACGATGTTACTGTCGTCGATTAAAATGTCAATGAGACAGTCTCGTTTGATCAATATTTTATATTCGTTGTCAAACGAATTTATTTCGTCCGTTGAATCAAATTGATTTAATTTTTTATTCGACGATATAGGATCACTGACCAGTTGATTCGCACAGAGAAATATCAAGAGATTCGTTGTCGCATAAGTTATCGACCCACTTTCAACCGGAGGAAAATGTAAGTTTCATCGAGCAAGTTGTTTGTACTGAAACTAAACGACTTAGGAGTCGTACATTGGGGCCCGGTTTCGCGCGATAAAGTTTGTTTTAGAAACCGAGTGGGTGGACATCATGGCATACAAAGTTTCACCGTGGCGATGTTTCGTAAACGATAATCTCGAAATTGTCTTAATTTAGTAAATCTTTTCTACTTTCTTCACACTTTAATACTTTTATTCGTTTCTTCTTGTTTCCTTCTTTTTTTTTTCTTTTTTCTTTCTTTTTTCTTTTATTCATTAACAAAAATCGATCGATCTTTCCGAAAAAAAAAAGAAAGAAAAAAGAAAAGAATTTCTTACTCTCGTAAGATCGAATATTTATTATTTCATTCGGTCGAATTGATATTGTTAAAATTCTTTAAAATTTCATTGAAGTAAATACATACATACATACATAGATACACACACATGTAAAAGTTTTTGGCTTATACTTAGAAATAATATGTATATTATTTTAAATGTATATGGTGTTTCTTATTTACACTAAGTTTTACATTGAAAATGATAAACATCAAGGAAATTGTTTTCTCGAAATATTTCTCTTCGATATATCCACCTTCGGGCGACTTATTTTTATCAGTCGGCCGGCCTTTGCACATTTCCGTTCCGTGTTTATCGTATCGCAACGAATATATGAATAAAATACGAATCTCCATTATATGCGCGCGCGCGCGCACGCGCAAGCATTCGTGCAAGCTCTCTTGTGTCGCACATCGTACAAAACTAAACTAATTTAAATAAGCTTTGTACAAAAGTTACAGGCATACAAAATATTCGATTAATCATTATAGATACGAACAATGAAAAATAAATAATTTATTATTTAATTTCTATTGCGATATTAGAAATTATTCAATGGCTATAGAAAATTTCGAATTAGAATGATATAATGATAGAGATGATAATCTTATCGTTACATTTATTTATTATTCGCGTTACTTATATTCCTTACTCTTTCCCACGTTTTTCCCTTGTTTTCTAATTTATACCAACACACTCGTAATATTATCGACCGCAATATATCTAATTGAATCTTTAAACGCTCGATTAGATCGTCATCGAATCGAGGCACTACGTTCATTGTCTAGAAACGAAGCCGAGAGCTATCTTGAATCTTCGGGAGAGAAGTTCGGGTCACTAAAATACATTCGTCGGCCTTGCCACGTTATTTAGCCTACTACTCTTTAAAACAAAATCTCATTCTAGATCTCTCTTTCTCATCGGTCCCACAATAAATTCCTCTCCGTTTTTCCATCTTTCTCTTTATCATTTTAAATAACCATCTTCCATTCTTTGATTTCACTTATTCGCTCTCGTTGAAAATATATTTATTTAGCAGCATGAAGAAGGATGACAGATATCAGCTATACGAAGTACCATCTAAAATAATAGCGATTCGTGACTCGCTAATATTAACTTCGTTCATATCCCTAGATATACAACCTTTTACATATATATGTACTCTTATACGTAACGACACTATAGTATGGCTAGCGTCATTCAGTATTTTCCACTTCCTCCCTTTCCTCTTTCCTCTCTTTCTCTCTCTCTCTCTCTCTCTCTCTCTCTCTCTCTTTCTCTCTTACGTTCCCCCTCTACTCATACTCTTTTCATTTCATCGTCTATCTTCTCGCTTCTGTCGTTCAACGGATTACTTACTGCAGACATATGCTCTATACATAATGATCTGATTACATATCGTCGTTGCTCTCCTTTCGATCCACTCTCCGCCTCTCGCTCAACCGTTGATAAGCTCGATAAAATTTTAACATGTACGCTCTTTCAGTCGATCCTAATTTATCGTCCAGATGAATTTTCTTTCGAGATTTGCGAATAAAACTTATTCCACCGATTCACGTTGATTGTAATTTCACTAATAAAATACATGATTATCGATTCGTTGGATTATTATTATTATTATTATTATTATTATTATTATTATTATTATTATTATTATTATTATTATTATTATTATTATTATTATTATCATCATAAAAAAAAAAAAATACATTCACATATCGAATTTATTCCAAAATTATTTCCAATTGATTTCTAATTTTTATCTAATTTATTTCTAATTTATTTCCAACGAGATATTTTAATCGCGCAATATCAATGAATAAGAACATCCCTTTAATACATATATATATATATATTTTCTTTTTTTTTTTTTTTCTAATTGATAATTCATTCGTACGCGTGAAAATTTTACGTTCCCTCGTTTTTATCTAATTAATTAATGGATTTAATTAAAGAAATGAACGAAGATAGAGAGAAAAAAGAGTGAAATAGAACGAATCCGCGTAAGCGCGCGTATAGGTAATGATATATAGGTATTTCACGGATACCAATTCAAGCATACGTATTTTGACGCGAAGGTTTAGCGAGACCGTACGTACCATCGCGAAATTTCTCCGGTCTTTACGACGCGATAAACCTTCGCGTTTCTCAACTAATTTCCAGCGTGACGAAAAGTCGTTCCGGCGATGAATTCACGTCGCTTATTCTAGAAATATCGTCCTGCGCGTTCGTTCCCTCTCCCTTCTCTCTCTCTCTCTCTCTCTCTCTCTCTCTCTCTCTCTCTCTCTCTCTCTCTCTGTCTGTCTTTCTTTTTCTCTCTTATACTGTTTTCAGTCTTCTACCTATTCGAATGGTGGGGCCCGGTGGTCATCCATTAACGAAGATATTTTAAGAGAAATAAATAGGGATGCACGTGCCGACGATTCGCGGATCTTCAAAAGATATAAGTATACGTTAGAATACTCACGCATTTAGGCGCGCACGCAGGCATATGTAAAATATGTATAGGCGTGCGATTCCGCGCGCCATCCATACTTTCCTTCGACCGTTATATTTTTAGCTACTTCGAATCTCGGTAATTTCGGTTCAAATATTTCTCCATGAGCCGACACCCAAACTCGGCCGAAAGAAAAAAACGACTAAGACGACGATGACTACGATGACTACGACGACGACAACGACGATGACGATGACGACGACGACAACGACGACGACGATCAGGAGGATCCTCAACGGAGACTGGATAGAGAATCAGTTACTGCGTTAAATAACTTTTCGCGTATCTCCATCGGGACCTACGCTATCCAGCGAAAAGAAATCGGATTTTCGACTCCTTTAAATAGATTCTAACGCAGTTATACCACTGCTATCTTTGTAACACTTAAAATAGGTGAGTGACTCTCTCGTTGCAAAGCTCTGTGCAGAGATGGCACGTAGCCTCTCGATTCGCGCATGACTCTATCTATCTCTCTCTCTCTCTCTCTATATATCTCTCTCTATCTCTATCTATATCTCTATTTCTCTCTTTCCGTTTTAATCCCTCCTCCCCCAATTATCTATCTTATTCTATCGTCTTCCACTTGCTCGTGACTTAACACGTCGTCGTAAAAACACGCGACTATCCATCGACTTATGACTTTTATTTTTGTTCACTATTTTATCATCCATATACTATCGTATTGATTGTATAAAAAAAAAAAAAAACTTTTGATTGTATAAAAAAAAGATCGCAATGATATTAGTTCAAAATGAAAACAACGATATATCGTGAAATGAAAAGATCATATTAAGATCTTTAATGAAACATATTGATTATGAGAATAAGAAGTCATTTAAGAAACTTCTTCTTTTGTTCTTTTTCTTTTTCGTGCCATCTTTTAGGCAATGTAAAAAAAAAAAAATAAATAAATAAATAAATAGAAATAAAGGCCAAGGAAGAAAGGAAGAAAAAAGAAAAATAAAGAATATATTTTTGATTAGATCAAAGGAATGTCTCGAAAATCGTAAATAGCGTATCCATCGATCGGCTTTCCTTCTTTTGAGAGTTCGTAGCTATTTACTATGTAAAAAAGAAAATGAAAGAGTAGGAATATATAAAAAAGGGAGATTGGGGGTGGAGATGGAGGTGGAGTGGAGTGAGGTTGGGGTTATAAGGAAAGGGAGAGTATAGTGCTGCTTGGAAACGATCGGTAAAGGGCGGATGAGAAACATTCAGTCTCGACGAGGGCTCCTCCACTCGCTTTCCAGCTCCTCGCGCGAGGACTACGCGTCTGAAGTTAGAAGGAGGGAGAGAGAGAGAAAGAGAGAGAGAGAGAGAGAGAGAGTCGATGCGAACTTACAGAGAGGGCGGAGGACGCGTAAAACCTCCGGCCACAGATCGATAGAAAGGTCGGAGGTGTGTCGTGTCTGTTAGACTTTGGCCCGAACTTGCGGTTACCTACCTGTGCTTGCTGTGTTCTATTGAGCCTCGAGAATACTCACGTTTGTAAACGTTACCGACCCTTCCTGCCTTATCCCCTTTGACCCTTCACCTATCGTATGAATGACGAATCTATCGTATCTACGAAAGATTACAAGTCTTTTTCGATTTTTCTTTTCCTTTTTTTTTTCTTTTTTTTTTTCTTTTTTTTTTCCATGAATAGCTTCTTTCTATTCATTAATTTGCATTTCTTTTTCTTTTTTTCTTCTTCTTTTTTTTTCTTTTTTTTTTTTTCTTTTTTCTTTTTTCTTTTTTTTTCTATTGAATACTTTTTTCTCATTAAAAAATACGATGTGTAGCTACGTAAATTATTTAAAATCATAAACCAGTAGTTCTGAATGTCCTTGATATTTAATTCTCGTATTAAATTGAAAATTTGTTATCTTTGATCCAAGCAAATCGATCTGTAACTGCGACAGGTATAACGATGAAAGCATGTTTCGCATGATGAATTTTTAAAAGTTAGTATCCATACCAACGAAGAGAATATAACTTTATACGACACACATATTCTGGAGCACTTCGCGATACGGTAATATCGATCAAGTATTACGGAAGCCATACAACCTATGCAACTGGTCAGACCTCAACGTTGCTCAATAATTATTACTTACTTTTACGAATGGTAATCGTATAAAAAAGTACGTACATTTTAATATACGTAAATTTATCCAAAGGATTCTCAATGGATTATATATGACTACCAATTGGAAAATTGGATCCTTTTATCTGTTCTTCCTTTTTTTTTTTTTTCTTTTATCTTTTTGTATATATTCGTCTTTTTTCCTTTTTCTTTCCTTTTTTTTCTTTCCTTTTCTTTTTTTTTTTTTTTTTTATTTCCATTTCTTTCACCGCTTTTAATTTTCATTTAATATATTATTAATTCTCATTTATTATATTATTCTGTATCGTGTCTTTTTCTTTCTTTTCTTTTTTTTTTTTTTTTATAACGCAAACGAGATTCGATTCGTATCAGCTCAAACAAATAGGTTCATTAAAGTCCTTTTAATCCCGCCGATTCTTTTTAATCGATCTACGTGGTAAGGAATATTTTACTTTCAAGAGTTCGACTCGGCAAGATCGGATAGGCCAGCATAACGGAAGCGCGGTAAATCACCTCTCCCGTACTGTTTTGCAATTAAATCGCCACACGCGCGCTCATTTTGAAGGGAAACGTATCACCGGCGAGGGTCGCTGTAAATCATGAGTGGTTAATAAAGCTCCAAGAAAGATACTTTCTTCGTATAGTAGAAGGCGACCCATCGTACTTTCTCATTGGTGAAATATCTCGAAGGTTAAGAAGATTTTAGAAAAATATGAGGACGAAGGGAGAAAATGAAATAAGTTTCTTGATTTCTTTTTTTTTTTTTTTCGTTCTTTCCTAACAACTTCTCAATTTGAATAACGATCGTAAGTCGTTTCGCAAAAAAAAAAAAAAAGAGAGACAAAGAAAAACAAAAAAGAAACTACAATAATCGACGATTCTTGATAACGTGTAAGATCGGATTTTCGTACTATTATATTCTAAATGTTATTAGAAATAAGTTTTCATAGTGAGAAACAAACATTTTAACGAAGGTTGGAATAAATGGAACGATCTTTCACACTTAGATATGTATATTTGTCGTAAAAACTTTCGAGTTCTATAAAAGGGAGGACTTAAAGGCAATTCGCGATCCGGAAGTTGCTTCCTTGCGGGCAAAGTTCGCCAAACCGACTACTCTCACTCTGTTACCCTTTCCATCGACCCTTTCCACTCCTTTGCTTTTCTATTTATCTATCTATCTCGATTTCTCTTTCTCTCTCTCTCTCTCTCTCCCTCTTTCTATCTTTCTCTCTCTCTCTCTCTCTCTCACTTTCTTTCTCTTTCTCTTTTTATCCGCCCTATTTTCAATTGCATGATGATGCAAAGCCAACCTTCTCATGTACGCTGAAAGTGACGTGCGAACGTAAACGCTTTCAAGTCGAACGAAGAAGTCTCTGAGAGAGAAAGAGAGAGGGAGAGAGAAGGAAAGAGAGAGAGAGAGAGAGAGAGAGAGAGTAAGAGAAGGGTGAAAGAGGTCGGAGAGAATCGATATTTGGTGGCAGCGTGTCGCTAAAGTCCATCTCTTTCTCTCTCTCACTCTCACTCTCTCTCTCTCTCTCCCCAACTACTCTCTTCCTCTTTCCTCCTTCTTCGGCCGTTTAACCCTTCGAGCTGGAACGCGCGTGGCTTCTGTCTTTTCTCCTTTCCTCTTGGAAAACGAAAAGCTCTCTTTAACTTAAGTAGATCGCATTTCATCGCGCCTCATTTAAGAGCAGAAGCGGATAACGATAACTACCGATGGATTTTTCTTTTTTCTTTCTTTCTTTTTTTTTTTTTTTTTTCTTTTTCTTTTTCTTCCTCTTTTTCTTCTTCTTCCTTATCGTCGTGCAAAATTATAATCGGAGCTTCTTTCCCCTCGATTCTTTTTACCCTTTTCCTTTTTCTTTTCTTCCTATCGTATAATAAATTAAATTAACCGTATCTCGTTATGCATTATTATTATAGAAACATTTTTTTATGATCCAAACTAAATTCAAGTATTAATTTTGAATTTATAAAAACTAATTAAACGAAAGGGATATAAAATTTCATATTCAACGAATCTTCTTAAATATCGTTATATATTTACATATACTTTCGTAAAATGAAAAGGTTCGCATGGATTTGACGAATCGAAAAAAGGAATACATAGTAGGGAAGGAGTTAGTCACGAAAAGGGGGACAAAAGTTTCTCGTTCGTGCGCCAGCAAACGAGGCCGTTGGGTGATGGTTAGAGAGAAACGTAAGAGAGGGCTGATGAAGGGCGGGGAAGGAGGGAGTATGGAAGGTTAGCGTAGTTTCGCGCCTATTCGCTGAAATAATAATGTTCCCCTCTCAACGGAGAGTGCACGCTGCCGCTACTGCTGCTACTGCCGCCGCCACCACCACCGCCGCCGCCACCGCCGCCGCCGCCGCCGTTGTCGTCGTCGTTGCTGAGTCAAGTTAGGTTGGACACTAAATTACACTCTCGCCACGTTCGTCCCACGCGAGCGAAGAAATTCAGGCTCTAGCTGAATCCCCGAGCCGACTACTACAGACTTGCAGCAGCAATACCAGCACTAGTACCACTACTAGCACCACCACCACCAACCCCCACCACCACCATCACCATCGCCATCACTACTACCACCGACACCACTAGCGCAGCTATCTTTTTTAATTAATTTCTCCTGTCTCCACATCGGAGGACGTGGATGAATAAATGATAATCACGAACAGCCTTCCTGCTGCTGCTGCTGCTGCTGCTGCTGCTGTCAGTTCTACTCGCTGTCGCCATTGCTGACTATGTACGCTCTGAACGAAATGAATATTTATTTAAGGAATAGAATCTTTATGGAGATTAATTAATTACCAGCTATACGTTTTTAAAAAAGAAAGAAAGAAAGAAAGAAAAAACCTCTGTTTGACCCGTTCGTTTGAATTTATACGAATATTCCATACGTGAGACTTTGAAATACGATGCCTTCGATCGAGTCTTCTCTCCCTTTTTCTTCTCCCTCCCTACCTCTTTCCCCGTTTCCCTTTGTTTGTTCCCTGACGCACGCGAGCCAGACTCGAACGCAAACGAGTCTACTTCTTGAATACTTCCGTTAAGTTTTAATATATTCTGTTAAGTTTGTTGCGTATTGATATATCCTTTGAATAATCTTTTGAATGTTCTCTCTCTCTCTCTCTCACTCTTTATTTTTGTTTTCTTTTTCCTTTTTTTTCCTTTTTTACTCTTAACGTTA